AATACTTACCTGAGACCCACTGATTGTGATACCCATCCAATAAGATGGCTTCTGGCCCCAGAGAACAAGTCTAGTCCAACTACCAATTCCAGATAAACTCCCACAAGGGTAATGTTGGTGGAGAGACCCATCATGTCCTGGTCAACTAGGTTAGCGGATCCTGTCCAGGTGGAAGGGGTGCAGACAGACCACACAAACCTGCTGGTGGATCTGCTTCAGGCTCTGCTGTGCCTTCTCATCCAGATAGTCTGTGACGGGCCTGCAGAAAGAGAAGCACAGCACTGAGTTCAACAAGGATGAAGCCAGAGTTCTTCACAGCAAAGAACACACAGACTCAGAAAGATCTGCCTTGTTCATGCTCCCACAATCCCTGCCTTCATGAAAGCTGTGCTGGGGGCTGGAGAGATGGCTCAGCGGCACTGCTGCTCAGCCTGACCACCTGAGTTCAAGCCCTGGGACCCACGAGGTAGAAGGAAAGGACTGAGTCCCCTTCAAGTCGTCCTCTATCGTCCACGTCTGCATCACATGTGTCTGTTTCTCTCTCTCTCTCTCTCTCAATAAATGTAAGTTCAATATTTTTATACATATGCACATTTTTGCCATCATGTGTATGTATACCATATGCATGACTGAGGCCCATGGAGTCCAGAGAATGTACTGGGAATCCCTAGAACTGGAGTTACAAAGGTCTGTGAGGGGCTGGGAACTAAACCTGCGTCTTCTGCAAATGTTCTTGACTACTAAGCCATTGTCTCCAGGTACTAAATTTAATTTAAAATAGAAAAAACAAGTAATAAGAAAGTAAGAAGAGAAGGTAAGATACCCACTGTCAATCTCTAGCCTCCACAAGTACACATGGACAAGTACATCTGTACACATGCGCATGCGCACACGCACACGTGTGTGCACACACACTATGCTGGTTTCAGCAGGTGGGCAGCTGGGTGCTATCTTTACACTCTGACCTATAGCCAGTTTGCTGAAGACACAACCTTATGATCAGGACAGAAGTACCCTTACTGAACATTGGGCCCCTGCTGACACCGTGGGAGTCCCCTACAGGGTTACACGGGTTCCCATAGGATCCTTCTACTGTCCTCAGAAAGATTTCTGCTACAGTCAACATAGCACTTAAGGCTTCAGCAGGGGGTTCTACCTGCCTGACTCACACGCTAACTCACATGCTTTAGACTGAGCTAAGGCATGTACAGAGCCAAGCATTGTCAACTACCCGTGGTGCCCCTGTGTTTCCGGCCTAACTATGCACAGCCACAGACACCCCGGAGATCTGATGTCTATTACTTGCTAGGCTGAGCTCTGTGGTAACTAACTCCAGCTCCCTGGAGATCCAGTCTGCTAGGTGCTAGCAGAGCCACACAGAGCCCCGATGCCCTGGAGGTCTGAAATCCCCTATGTTAAAGTCCAACACCTTGAGGCCTTGTATAAACCCAACATCTTGGGAATGCGTCTCAAAGGTACCATGTCATCAATGCACTGCTGAGAAGTGCCATGGCCCATGTGCCTTTCACCAAGGACAGCAAGGTCTTCAACATTAGGTGACCATTCCACCCACACAGATTGTGAGCTGTGCTCTGAGGCCAAGGGACAATCAAGCCTCCTTGGGGCTGACAGGTAGAAATGAGGTCCCTGCCGTCACCCTGACCCAGGGAGCCATCTACACACAGGAAGTGATTTAAGTACAAGTTTCAAGTTTGACCCTAAGAGCAGGTCATAGATAGCACTGTGTCTCTAAGATCTTACTTTTGAGGACTCAACTGTACAGTGACATAAGGAAATCACACAGCTCTTGGGACGCATCATTGTGCATGGTCCTGAGTTCTTGCTTTGTCGTTATATTATAAATAAAGCCAATGGGGGGGGAGGGGATTTCCAAGGGAAACTTCCAAACTTAAATTTTTTTTCTTCTTGGTTTTTTCTCCAGACAAGGTTTCTATGTGTATCTCTGGTTATCCTGGAACTCACTCTGTAGACCAAGCTGGTCTCGAACTCTGAAATTCGCCTACCTCAGCCTCCCAAGTGCTGGGATTAGAGGTGTGTGTCACCACTGCACAGCCCAAAGTAGTTTAAATTATTCAAGTGACAAATGGGGACTGAGGAGATGACTCGCCAAGAAAACACCTTGCCACACAAGTCAAACAACCTGGGTTCAGATCCTCAGAATCCAGGTAAAAAGCCAGACACAGTGGTGCATTTGCACGTACCCCCAGGAAGATGGGAGATAGAGACCAGAGCATCATCTGAAGTTCATAGGCAGCTTGGTGAGCCGCAAGGCGGACACTGTCTTAAACAAGGGGGGCCATGAGGAAAACGTTCAAGGTTTCCTCTGACCCACACATGTGCTCTGTGTCACACACGTGTGCATCGATACACATTCACACATGGAATGCTCAGTGGAACTGCTCAGTGCCACCCCTGAACAGGTAGTCATTGCTTTTGCTGTCTGAGCCCTTGGGATGATCTGGGGAAACCAAATAGCAGAGAAAGTAGAGGCCCCTTACGAATGCCAGCCAGCAGCCCTTCCCTGAAAAGAGAGAGCAGTCCTAACCACCGACCGCCTCAACATAACACAGAACCCTAAACACACAAATGATCAACCATCAGAGCAGACAAGCTACTCTCCAACCTCAAATCACTACTGTTACCTCGTTTCCCAGATGACATCTCTTACCTGTTGCTCTGTGAAGCCAGCTTGTACAGGGCATAGGTGACCTCTGCGCAGGAGAGGATGGCACCATGTCTGCTGTGTAGATCTGAGCTCAGTGTCATCAACAGTAGTGCCGGGAAGACTGCAGCGGTCAAGTTGGAGAACACACATGGGACAACTCATTACTCAGAAGCATTTCCTCTGGGGTTGGTCAGGGTCACCACCCCTGTTTCTGGTGGGCAGAGCTCTCTCCTGGGCAAGCAGGGCAATGTGCTAGGACACAGCATATAAATCAGTATATGCACACAGGCCCCCGGATGCCCAGTGAGGTCACATCTGCAGAGTCTCTCATCTGCACCTCTGCCACACAGATGGTGGTGCTGAGGACAGCAGGCAGAACAAAGGCCACACAACCATAAAAGGTGACAGGCACTTCCATTCTTCAATCCTTCCCAGTGAGATAAAACCTCAGCCTCTGGTGTTTAGGGAAGAGAAGGCAGAACAGCTCCAAATTCTAAGTCACACCAATCTAGAGGCACTGACAACCGCTGGAATCCCCCATCAATTTAACCTACACAATGCAACCCACAGATTGCTTGTTTTGTGGGTGTCACCTGTGCCGAACGCCACCCAAAGCTGCCTCTGGATAAACACACTGCATTTGTCTTCGTACTCTATCCTGGTTTAGCCTACAGCTTTCTCTTCGACAACAGACATAGGACGTCATCTTCATCTACTATGAGAACAGCACATATTTCTGCTGTGTATGTGCACACGTATGCACACAGTGCACTTGTATGACGGCTGTAGGAAGTGGAACGCACACCTACCATGAGAGGCCATGTACTCAGGCACTTGTGGGGTCAGGTGGTGCAGCGCTTTTGCAGACAGTTCTCGGATGGCCCTGAGAAGTAAGAGTAGCTGTTAGTAGAGGGTCTGCACACTCACTCTCCTACCGGCTTTATTCAGCAGCCTTGAGATGGAAGCAGCCAAGGATCTAGCAACAGATGAATATATATGCCAAATATGGTAGATACAGACAATGGACTATTACTCAAATAAAAAGGGAGAGAATTCTGACACTTGCTATGACAAAAATGACGGTTTGTAGTCAGTAGGTCAAAAACTGCCCAAGGTTTCTTTTGTAAGGCTATAAGTTAAGGATTGTTTTCATTTTTAAGGGTCATATATATGAGTCAGAGACCCAATCGTTAACTATCTGTCCCTTTAAAGAAAAAGCTGATAGCCCATACACAGCAAATTCAGTATCATGCTACATTTTAAGACATTTATGAAACAAAGAGACATTTCATAATGATAAACACATCAGGAAGATGAAAAATTAGAGGTATACATGTATCTAAAAAGAAATCCTAATCAAAACACAGGAAGGAACTGACAGAATTAGAAAATCAATCAGATTTCAAAAGTTCAAAAACTTAAGCTAACTCATGGATTGCATATTTACAATGTGGTTTTAAAGGTCTTGTTGGCTCAAAAACTAATATGAAAGGCAATTTAATTTTAACCACTGCCTGGGCAAGCCTAGGTGCTCTTCTCCCCATAAGAGATCTAATATCCCATCTTCCTGTATACCTGGCACATAAGGTCCTGAAGGAAGAGAAGGATTTCCTGGCAAGTAGTCACAGCTAGCCAAGTGAACAACACAGAGGCTTGGGCCAGAGGCTCCTCACTCTGGAGAGTCCAAAGCAGACTGCACACAGCTACACAAACATAGCCACAGCCAGCAAACATTTGCAAGGCTTTGGTCCTTGGGAAGCTGAAACCCCAGTGTCAGAGTGGGTCTTTCAACCACAAAGACCAGGTCTGACACTGGGATTTGGAAGGGGCACCATGATTATACTACTAATTCCCCGAGCATTTGCCCTGTGTTGGCTGACCAGGCCTACCTAGAAATGGTAGCAAAACACTGACAGGGCTTACATCTAAGTTACAGTTGCCTTTCTTCTTTGAAAATGCATTTACCTACCTATGAAATACCAAGATGGTCCCAAAGCTGCCACTGTCATTATGAAAACTACCACTAACGTCTGCTCAGCTCGTAGGGGACAATATATTAAGATACCTAGGGAGGCCAAGCAGAGCGGAATCAGTATGGAGGCCAGTCAAACAACCAGGAAGACCAGGCTATGCCAGCTGCCTGGACTGTCCTGTCCTTGGGCTATAGCTTCCCTGCTACATATGACAAGGGTATTCAGCAATAATTATTTACATCTCAGAATTGCTGACCAACAACAGCTCCAGAAATGAAACTAGACAGACAGACCATTAACAAGCATGCCACACACAGAGACTGGAATTTTCATTACTTATCAGAAATACCTATTTTAAAATAGTTTGTCTACAATGAGAAAATACACTCATGACTTATAAGCTCAATTAAACTTCTCCTGTTGGGGGAAAAGGGGGAATTTTCAGAGAATACAAAACCACAAAACCTACCCATCCCAATGGTTGATTTTCATGGAGACCAAGTGGTCAATCATCGGCTTGGTGTATTCTTGGAAGCCAGCAATAAACACACTGGAAGACATAATATTAAGAGCTCGAGAAAGGGGCAAATATGAGCAAGTACAATGATACATGCATAAAATTCTCTTAAGCCATTATTTTATGTATTGCTTAAATATTAAAAATAAAGAACATGGAGAAGTCAGAACCTATGGCATGAATTCTAATTGGTCTTAATAATAAAAACCTGGAATCGGCTATCAGAGGTGAAAGTTGAAAGATCAGAGAAGCAGAGCAGCCAGTTCTTACATCTCTGGAATCCTCAGACCAAGGGGCAACCTTGTCCCTATGAATCTACAGACTGAATGCTGTCTCTACGAAAATTCAGATTGAATGCTCAGGCTGAATGCCCTGAGCTCGAGCCTCCTCCGGCCTTATATTCCTCTCTCCACACAGCCATATCACGCCTGTCTTCACCTCCCCAGTACTGGGATTAAATGCACGTGATCCCAAGTTCTGGGCTAAACCTTATGTGAGCTCTGTTTCTCTTTTAGACAGATTCAATCTTGTGTAGCCCAGGGTGGCCTTGAACTCAGAGATCCTTCTGCCTCTGTCTCCTGAGTGCTGGGATTAAAGGTGTGTGCCACCACTGCCTGACCTCTATGGCTAACTAGTGGCTTAACTCTGCACTCTGATCTTCACGCAAGCTTTATTTGCTAGATCACAAACAAAATACTACAAGAACCTTCATGTACTGCTCTTGAGAATGGAAACTAAAACAATTACTGAGTCAAAAATAGTTTGGCCATTCCTTCAAAAGTAAAAGCTACCTACCAGATGACCCTGTGTTACTCAAGGCAGGAGAGCATCCGTCCAGAAACCATGCCCACAGCTCAGCAGCATACCCAGGGCTGTGACTGGGAGCAGCACTCTGTGGTCATGCAGCTGATGGAGCAGCTTATTCATCCATGCCACAGGCACACAACAGAACAAAGGAATGGGCTTTTTGGTTGAAGCCTGGGTCTTACTATGTACTGGCTGACATAAAACTTGCTATACAGCCTAAGCTAGTTTCAAAATCACAAAGATCAGTCTGCTTCCCAAGCACTGGGATTGGAGGCATGCATCATCAAACCTGGCTTTTTGTTGTTGTTTTAAAGATTTTTTTCCATTTGATTTGGCTTTTTGAACTTTTCAGAATTACACACTAGTACTGTATTTACATCATTTTCATTCCACCCTCCCCCCCCCAGCTCCTTCTGTCCACCTCTGACTTTACAATTTCATGACCTCTTCAACTATTAGTGAGTGGGTATGAATAAATACAACCTTTAGAGTATTGTTGGTCTCATTTAGTGTGCGTTCATCTAATATGCTTAAGGCTGACCACTTGGGGTTGGATAACCTACCAGGGGGCTTGTCTCTGTCAGCAGCCAGTAATTGCCTACAGCTCCTCATCTAGAGATACAGCCTTGTGAGATTTCCCCATCTACACTGGACTATGATCTGGGGTTGTCATGGTGCAGGTCTTGTTTATTGTTTCCTGGGTACAGTGCCCTGTCATATACAGAAGATATGATCATAGAAGATGCTCTGGTCCTCTGGCTCTGATAACCCTTCCACCTCCTCGTTCGTTGTTTCCTGAGCCTTAGGTGTACAAGCTGTGTTGTGGATAAATCTGCTGAGGATGGGCACCAGTGATCAGCTGTTCTCTACATTTTTACCAATTGTGGATTTCTATGATAGATTCTCTGCTGAATTTTTTTTTTATTTTGGATGAGAGCTATATTTAATCTGTGGATATACGAACAGATATTTAGAAAGCAGTTGGTAATTATACTGGTTCAGAAAAGGTGACAGTTGTAGGCTCTCCTTTAGGGGGACCTCACCAGCCAGGGTAGGTTGGCGAGGTTGACAGTACCTGATGTGGATGCAGTACCTCCCCACTTTGAGTAGGCCATAAGTCCAATTATATTATTGCTCAAGTGCCACTGTGTGCCCCGGGTATATTCTGCTGTGCTGATCGCTGCGGTTCACAGACTTTTCAGTGGATAGAACTATTAATTGCCTTTCTGCCTGGGCAGCCTGCACAGTACCCTCAGATACTACGAAAGCTAGTCCTCAGGATTATTCCAGGTTAGTTCCAGCTCAATTCCTCCAAGTCCCTTTTTGCAATGTGCTGCCAAGGGCAGCAGCGGAAACCTGTTAACTCTGGAGTCTCTTGTAACTTTCCTGACTAGTAAGTCAAAAGGAGGCTTCCTCTGCCTGGCACTGGGGTCTTAGTAAAACACTGTGGTCAGGATGAGGAATGTTCCCCACGGTCTCAGGCACCTGAGCAGCTGACTCCCAGGCGGCAATGCTGCTTTGGAAGGCTTAGGTGAGACCAGCCTTGCTGGAGAAAGTTGTCTCTGGGGTGGGTTCCAAGAGTAAAAGGCCTCACCCACTTGCAGTTCACTCTGCTTCTTAAATATGGTTGACGTGTGAAGTGCAGCCACCATACCTGCTGCTTGCCGCCAAGATGAATCTTAGCCCCCGGAACCATAAGCCCAAATCATCGTTTTCTTCTATAAGTTGTCTTGGGCATGGTGTTGTATCACGGCAACAGAAAAGTAACTGATACAGTCAATGGGTCATGGGAGCAGCAGTACCGCCAAGTGTTAGCACGTCATTTAAATTATTTGTACATGTATGCAATACACCTCTGTACTGTGTGTGTGTGTCTGTGTGTGTGTGTGTATTTAAGTAAACATAAAACATTTCCCATCTTCAGTGTCATTTATCTCTCTGTACATTGTCCTCCCTGACCCCTCGTCAGGTAAAGCCCTCCCCATGTTTTCCCTATTTTCCCCTGTGACCTAATACACCCCTCTCTAGACACCCTTCTACATTGCACCAATCCTTTTCCTTTCCTGGTTTCTTAGGTGACTCCAGGTCACTCACATCTAAAAACTAGGAATGAGGCTCACAGATGAATGAGAGCACCCAGCACTTGCCTTGATAACCTGGACTAGGTTACCTACCTCACCTGGTATATAATGTTTTCTAGTTCTATCATGGTCTCATTTCTCTTCATAGCTGAACAGAATTTCACTGTGTACCCAACCACATTCCCATTGTCCACCGGCTGGAAGGTGGTTTCCATTTCCTAGCTGTTGTGAATGGGGTGGCAAAGGACATAGCTGAGCACATCTGCGGGGCAGGAGAAGAGGCCTTTAGGTCAAAGCCAGGAGTGGTACAGCTGGGTCATAAGGTGTGTTATAGCTTCTTGAGAATTCTCCACACAGGTTTTCAGAGGGGCTGTGTGCGATCTCCCCAATAGTAAGTGAGCGTCCCCTTTCCCTATATCCTTGCTGTCAGCTGCTTTCCTGATCTAAGCCATTGCTACTGCGCAGGATGAGCTGCCAAAGTAGTTTTTTAATTTACATTTCCATTAGTGCTAACGGTAGCGAACACTTTTATATTTCTTTACAGTATTTCTTAGCCATTTTATTTCTTCTTTTAAGAACTCTGTTCAGCTCATAAAAGAGAAAGTGGGAAGTACACTTGAACGCAGTGGCACAGCAGACCACTTCCTAAATATAACCCCAGTAGCACAGACACTGAGAGAAACAAATGGGACCTCCTGAAACTGAAAAGCTTCTGTGAAGCAAAGGGCACAAATAAGACAAAATGACAGCCTACAGAATGGGAAAAGATCTTCAGCAACCCCACATCAGACAAAGGTCTGATCTCCAAAATATACAAAGAACTCAAGAAATTGGTCATCAAAAGAACAAATAATCCAATTTAAAAAAAAAAATGGAGTACAGACCTAAACAGAGAACTCTCAACAGAGGAATCTTAAATGGCTGAAAAACACTTAAGGAAATGCTCAATATCCTTAGTCATCAGACAAATGCAAATCAAAACAACTCTGAGATTCCATCTCACACCTGTAAGAATGGCCAAGACCAAAAACACTGATGACAACTTATTCTGGAAAGGCTATGGGGTAAAGGAAACACTCCTGCATTGCTGGTGGGAGTGCAAGCTGGTACAGCCGCTTTGAATATCAGTGTGGCAATTTCTCAGAAAATTAGGAAACAACCTTCCCCAAGACCCAGTAATACCACTTTTGGGTATATATCCAAATGATGCTCAATTATGCCACAAGGATATAGCACCACTGTTTGTCATAGCCAGAACTTGGAAACAACCTAAATACCCTTCAACTGAAAAATGGATAAGGAGGATGTGGTACATTTACACAATGGAGTACTACACAGCAGAAAAAATAACGACATCTTAAATTTTGCAGGAAAATGGATGGATCTAGAAAACATCACATTGAGTGAAGTAACCCAGACCCAGAAAGACAATTATCATATGTACTCACTCATAAGTGGTTTTTAAGCATAAAGCAAAGAAAATCAGCCTACAATTTACAATCCCAGAGAACCTAGGTAACAATGAGAACCCTAAGAGAAATATACATGGACCTAATCTACATAGAAAGTACAAAAAGATAAGATCTCTTGAGTAAATTGGGAGCATGGGGGCCTTGGAGGAGGGTTGAAGAGGAAAGGAGAGGCAGGGAGAGGAGCAGAGAAAAATGTAGAGCTTAATAAAAATCAGTTAAAAAAAGAACTCTGAACTCTGTTCAGATCCATGACCCATTTTTAAAACTGGATTGTTTTTTGACTCATGGTGGTTTGAAAGAAAAATGGTCCCCATAGGGAGTGGCACTATTAGGAAGTGTGGCTTTGTTGGAGTAGGGATGGCTTTGTTGGAGGAAGTGTGTCACTATGGGGGAGGGCTTTAGGTCTCCTATACTCAAGCTACACCCACTGACATAGTTCATTTCCTGTTGCCTGCGGCTCCTTTTCCAGCATCATGTCTGCCTATGTGCCACCGTGTCCTGCCATGATAATGGACTAAACCTTTGAAACCATAAGCTGCCCCAATTATATGTCTTCCTTTCTAAGAGTTGCCATGATCATAGTGTTTTACTTAGACACCCTAACTAAGACAGAAGTTGGTACCAGGAACTGGGGTATTGCTGTGACAGGCCTGCCCATGCTTCTGTTTGGAGA